CGCCTGAAACAGCCTGAAACCGAAAACCTGAATTGCAGTTCTCAACCCTGAAGCCCTTAACCCCTATAATTATACACCCTAAACCCTACACCCTACACCCGAGACCCTTTACCCGACACCCTCAACCCTGATGTCGGGAGCCCTTTCGTGTGAGGCGGCGACTATCCTGAAGGGACTCATTGGGTCGGCCCTTGCCGCGTTTGCATCGGACGGAGGGCGTTCAGTTCTTGGCTTCTGTATATACATATATATATATATATACACTCATATAATTCTTCCATCCATACGTTTTCACGCAGATATATATATATATACATACATACATACATATATATATATATATATGCACGGTATAAACATATAGTTATATATACACAGACATACGAAGGTGCATGAATACTCGTTCATGGTTGCTTCCTTGTTCTCTCTGGAATACTGTGGAACCGAAGCCGCTGTCAATATAGCCCAGCAACCTGAACCCGAAACTCCCAAACATCGTAGGACGCAATGAGTGAGGGTTTAGGGTTTAGGGCTCAGGGTTTAGGGTTTAGGGTTTAGGGTTTAGGGGGAAGGTGAGGAATCCTGATACTCAGAAGCTGTCCTGGCGTGTTCGGTGTGTTGAAACGCTTATAGCACTAAATCCAGACATTCAAACGATTTGGACAAGTGGGCTGTTGGGCTTCATCTCCGCACTGTAGTCTGCAAGAGGTCATGTGGTCATAGTGCTTCCGAAATTTCCGGTCTCTCTCTCTCTATCTCTACGTCCATATCTATCTATATTCGGAGAGATATTATGTCCGTGCAGCTTTATATGGACACCCACATGCATAAATAGTTAAATCTCTATATCTATCTATATATATATATATATATATATATAGCCAGAGAGACAGAAGAGGCTTGTTTATGGATGGACCCAAGTGATCCACGTCCATACATGTATCCGCGTGCGCGCGCGCACACTCAACCCCTGCACCCCCACGGAACCCCAACCATCAGGAAGCCGAAAACTTTGATCTCGGCAGACCCCAAACCCCGAGACCCTGAACCCTAAACCCTAAACCCTAAACCCTAAACCCTAAACCCTAGCCCTAAACCCTAAACCCTGAACCCTGAACCCTAAACCCTAAACCCCAAACCCCTCAACCCTAGACCGCAGCTCTTGAGCGCTTGGGCCAGGAATCCCAGCTACTGCCACCTCGTGGAGAACTCGCCGGTGCTCGTCTCCGGAATCATCCCGGGGCCCGGCGCGCAGCGCTGGGTTTAGGGTTTAGGGTTTAGGGTTTGTAGGGTTTGTAGGGTTTAGGGTTCAGCCCCCCCCCCCCCCCCCAAACCCCTAGAAGCCGAAACGCCCAAAACCCTGGAGGGTTTGAGGGTTGAGGCAGACCCAGAGCTGCCACTAACTGGCCATTCGGGGAGGTATGAAAGGGAGTATGTGTGTGGGGGGGGTTGAGGGTTTGGGGGTTTGGGGTTCCGGCTTTAGGGTTTAGGGTTCAGGGTTCACTTGGGGTTTAGGGGGCGAATGAGTGAACAAGTGAGCGAATAGGCGACATTAATGCGTGCACCAAAAGCGCGTACAAAATACATTGCATTTACAAGCGCAGTATAATTTGGCTTTTGCGAGGGCGCTTTTAGTATTATTATTTCGCCCTCGCTTACACAACATTTTTGTTTACTAATTTCTTTCTATTCAGTACAGGCATGCACAATAAGATTTCTTTTCGCACGCCATTACATTCATTTCTGTCACCCGGGGTTTTATGATGCTAATACAGCACAAAGGCTCGGACATATTAATATTCTTAATAAGTTTTTTTGAGGGGGCAAAATATGAGGTCCTTTAGTATGCCCCCTCTATACTGTATTGACGGTCCAAAATGTATTCTGGTAAGGCCCGTAACCTATAATATACTAATAATCATGGAGTCAAGTGAGTGAATACAAGAACGAACTGTACGGGCTTTTTATCGAATGAGCTGTTCATAAAAAATCCCGCATATTATAATGAGAACAAGGTGAACGCGTGAATTTTGAATATTTCGGGCGAAGCAAAGTTTCGGGGTGCACATGGGAGTTGTGTTAGGACCTTTCTGGGATTCTTTTAGTTGGTTACACACAGCCTGCTGTACAAGGTTTCGATGGCGATGGGGCCCTAATTCACGTGTAGTGCTTCTCAGCATAGCCTTCTACCGCCCTAAACCCTACACCCCAAACCCCAAAACCATAAAAAGCCAAACGCCCAAAACCCAAAACCTCTAAAGCCCTAAAGCCCCTAAAGACCTGAAGCCCGAGAGCCCTAGAGCCCTTCAACGCCCCAAAACCCCGAAAGCTCCTAAAACCTCCAAAGCCTAAACCATAAAGCCCTTCAAAGCTTTTCAACGCGCTAAATCCCTAAAGCACCTAAAGCCCCTAAAGGCCTAAAACCCTAAAACCCCTCAACGCCTGAAACCCTAAAGCCCAAACCCCAAACCCCAAACCCTAAACCCTAAACCCCAAACCCCAAACCCTACATCCAGGTGCATTCGTGTCTTTACTGCTGTGGAGAAGACGAAGCAGTCGCCGGCACCTCAGGGTGTGGCGGGTTCAGGGTTTAGGGTTTAGGGCTCAGAGTGTTTGCGTTTACGATTTCAATCCAGAGTCTGAGAAGGTTTAGGGGTTCAGGGTTGAAGACTTCAGGGTTTAGAAGTTTAGGGTTAGGGGGTATAGGGTTTTATTTTCGGGCTTATGAGGTAGGGTTCACGGCTCGGGGCATTGGTTTGATCTTAGCTGGTTGCCAGGTTTCTGGGTTTAGCAGTTTAGCCTGTAGGGTGGCTTAACCCTTGACCCTTAACCCGTAACCCTTAACCCTTGACCCTAAGACCCCGAAGGCTGCATGACACTGATTTCGCCGAGATCTTGTGGTCCACCAAGGGCTTTGGGTTTAGGGTTCGGGTCTATATTCGGGTAAGTTTATGGGAGTGTTCCATCCAGAGTACTCCTAAACCCTAAACCCTAAACCCAAAACCCTAAGCCCTAAGCCCTAAGCCCTAAACCCTAACCCTAAGCAAGCCTGGAGCCCTCAAACCCTACAACAGTAAGCCCTTTACACCCCAAAGTCCTATCCCTAAACCTGATTCTGATGATTCCATCCGTCTTAAACCCCTCCACCTCACAGCCCTGAACACCAAGCCCCGAACTATACACATTGAACCCTGAAACCATGAGGGTGTAGGAGTTTTTGGGCTTCGCCACTTAATTTGACCGTGCTTCCTGGAGACACCCCAGACTTGTGTCAACCACCCCGGCTCTGGTGCTTCACGATCTGCTTTTCCCTCTTTAGTGTTTAGGGTTTAGGGTTTAGGGCTTTAGGGTTTAGGGTTTAGGGTTTAGGCTTCAGAGGGTTTATGGTTTAGGGCTTCGTTGGCTTGCAGCCCCACACCCGCAAAGGTACTACGACATCCGCATGCAGCTCAAGTACCAGCTGCGGATTCCCATCATGGACCCGCGTAACTAGGGTCGGTTGCGGCGTGTTTTGAGGCTCAGGGTCAAACATGGATTTCAGACGTTAAAAACGATCCCCGAAAAGGAGCCCTAGTTTAGAGAACTACCCATATGTGTATATATATATATATATACATGTGTGCGTATATTTTCTATATATACGCATATATATATAGGCTGCTTGCTGCCTATCCCCGCCCCCCCTACTCTGTCAGTGTCTTGATACAGTAGCCTGATAGAGTACAACTTTGTCTATAAACACAGCCACTGTTCAAAAACACCGCCCCTGTTTATCAACACTGTCACAGCCAACATCTGAAAACCCTACCACCCGCAAACGCCCAAAGCCAAGTTGGCTGAATGAGGATGTACAACCTGTAGGCTAATGGACCCTGAATTTAAAGCAGATTTAGATAGAATAATTGCATTCGCTACAACAGTTGCGCTCTCAAACCCGGTTTTCAGACTTCAATAGTCTAATTAGTCTAAGTAAATTACCTTTAATTGAAAGCCAATGCAACTATGAAAAATCTAAGGTCAGAACCTATAACTAGTTAAGTTCTTTTGACAGTTCTTCATCTAGCTTTAATTGCTTGAATGAGCCAAACTAATTGCGTTCTCAAAAGCCGGCTTTGAGAATTCAATAGTCCAAGTAGTTCAAGTAACTTAACCTCAGTTGAAAGTCAGTTACATTATCGATAATCTAGTGTCAGGACCTAGACTTACATGAAATGCAGGAAAGGTGCGGGGGGGGGGGGGGGGAGGGGGTTGGGGGCAAGACGTGTACCCATACAAATAAACAACATACATATACATATAAATATAAATACACATATTAAAAGTATAAATATAAATACATCTGTATATATATATATAGTCATATACATATATTTTGTTTAGGGTTCAGGGGTTTAGCATGAGGTGTTGGAGTGTAGTACGCCGCACGCCCCCTAAGCCGCAAAACGCTCCGGACCCCAAACCCCAAGCCCCAAACCCTAAACCCTAAACCCCAAACCCCAAACCCTAAATTCCAAACCCCAAACCCCAAACCCCAAACCCCAAACCGCGCAGCGAGGAGCTCTTCGAGCGAACTCTTCCCCTGGAGGTCGACTGGGAACTGGGTTCTCGAGGTCTCGAAGTCCATTCTATAGGTATTGCGTATATATATATATATGTATAGATAGCATATATACATATGTGTATATGTCTATACATATATATATATATGTATGTGCACGTAGACAATCACAAACACACAGTACAGGAAGACACATATTTCGCAAAATTGCAAATAAACACAACTCAGCTGCTCCAAAGCAACATTATCGGGGACTCGGTAAGTTTCCAAGTCTTTGCCGCGGCGAGGTCAGTGGCCCGAGAGGTCGCCTAGTGGACTGTAATAACCTGCAGCACACAGTTCAAGTCGCAAGAGGGGCTTTGCAGATCTTTCGGGCATCTCTTTCTTTGTTAGTCTTGGGTTTTTGGGGTTGAGGGGTTCCCTCCTTGAGCCCTTGCGCACCATGGCAACAGCGGAGTCCGGAGACCGAGAGACGCAGGCGCACGAGCACTCCACACTTCCGGGACAAGTGTCGGAGGCCGGCCCATCCGCAGATTCAGAAACGTTCAAGGAATGCCACGAGCTACGAGTGGTCGTGGCGCCTTCACATCTTCCGGACGGAGACGACGAAGGGCGCGGGCAAGGAGGCGAAGGCTCGAAAGCAGTTCAGGCGGAGCTTCGAGGCACCGCAGACACCCGGGACATCGACTGCGCTGGAAGCAAGCAAGCTACCGACCCGTGGGCTCTACAGTAGGAATTCGGGAGTTCGCATCCATTGTCAAAGTATCCCCTATGTAGCTATGTAGGAGATACAAGGTGCCGAGTTTCAGAACTCCCCTTTTGAAAGAGCAAGTATAAGGATCAGGAGGACACGGCACCAGCCATGTGCGCTGATGTTCCGCCCGCTCCGGAGCCCATCGCAGAAGTCAAGGGCTCCTCTCTTTCTGGCACCATCGGGAGATGCTCGGCGGGTGCTGGAGATATTCGAGATTTGCCCGTAGAGCGTGTAAGAGTATCTTACATGCATGACACATTACGGTGGTAACCCAGGATACAAGCCACACGCCAAAGCCACGGCGATGACGCTCTTCTCCACCTTCTGCTCTCTCACCTTCATCGTTACGATCACGAATATCGACCCCGACAGCTACCAGCCTTGCAACGACCCCTCTGCGGCCGGCTGTGTGTACCTCCGGATTTTTTCTGCAAGAAATCTGTCCAAAACGGATGGTTTCTTTGCAAGCGTGCTGAATGGAGATCCCGACCTGGTGGGCTTGGCTTTCCCTCACATGAAAAAACGTCGTGCATGGCACGGGGAGATGGAATCCTGGTGGTCTTTTCACACTGGCATGCGGGCAATTTTTTCAGCTGTCGTTGCTCATTGGGACGACCCTACAGATCAGCCTCCTGCTCTCTGCCCAAACCTCCCCAACATGAACATGACAGCTGACACCATGCGGGCGTTCTGTAACAGTGTCGAGATGAAGGAAGGAGTCGAGAATCATCTCCTTGGCCCTGGACGACAAGTCTTCGTACTGCTTACCCTCTTCTGGTGCCTCTGCCGGGTTGTTCATGACTTGCTCGTGCTTGAGAAGAGGAGGCAACTGGCTACGTTGACGGCCTATGCAGCACTACTCTCCCGAGTTGCTGCAGCTTCGATGGCTGCGTACTGGGCCTTCGGCAGTACATCCGTGTTCATTTCGCCCCATAAGGTTCCCCGTCGTCCCTTAGGAATTCCTTTGTGTTTTTGTTTTGGCACCAACATCACGAAATGTTGAGATACAAGTTTACCCATGTTGTCCGTAAGGTTAAAGACTGTGCTTGCTTCTACCAGATGCCAGCCGTCCAAGCCCTGCTCACGTTGGTGAGCCCCATGATGTTGCTGTACGGTAGCTTAGTAGCTGAGTGAGTACACTTTGCACTTCTTGGGATACTATAATCGCCTTCAGGGCTGAAAGGGTACACTTTTTTGGGGCTTCTGAACTCAGCAACTAAGGTAGTTATGAAGAGCTGTTGGGTTGGCTGCGTGGGGTCATTTACGGGGAGTACCTTCACTTCCAGCCCCACCGGATCCCTCATCATGTCGAGCAGTCCAGCCCATCGTGGACGTCAGGTCATCTGATGGTATGGAAACAGTCCATTGCGCCTCAAACCCGCATGCATCCGCAGTTTTACAAGCACGTGAGTTTTGCATGCCTCTTGCTCATTGGCGGGTGGGAGCTAGCAAGCTTCGTCCTCATCGCTCCACTTGCTCCGAGCATATGTGTCCGAGCGGAGGAGGTCATCACGAAGTTCTTGAAGTCCACTGACAATCAGGCCATTGGCTGGCTGTACACCATGCTGAACTGGGTGATCTACCTCACACCCTGGAGCTCCCTGGTTTTCGTAGCTGGGGCATGTTACATCATCTATTTGGGATATACGTCGTACCGAACGTGGACAAGCTCACATCCAACAGATCCATCGAAAAGGAAGCAACAGCAAGAGGCCAAAACGGCTGTGTTCGAGGCTGTGTTCTTTTTCGTCTCCGGTGCTGTTCTTTTCGTTGGCTCCTGCTCTGTCATCGTCATCTCATCGAGACCACCCCCAAGCGATTTGCCACCTCGTGAGACCGCTGTGTTGAGGGCTGAATTGCGCGCAGTTGGGCAATATGTGGGTGCTTTATCCCTTTCGATCGCTGTTTTTGCCGCCGCGGTTCTCAAAACCAACAGCGTCGTGGATGCCTTGAGCGGAAACAGCGTTCTCAAGACGCCTGTGAACTTCCTGACGTTTTGTGGTGGCTAGGACCCAGACTGGGCCCTTGTTGCCTTTGTTTTTATATACGGTTCCGTATAACACTCTAAAAACCCTAAACCCTTGACCCTTAATGATGTTGCTGCTTAGGGTGGCCCCCCCTCAAGAAATGGATCCCTCTGTTTCTGTTTAGTGGGGGGGGGGGAGGCGGAGGCAATTTGGTTTGGGGGGGGGGGGGGGGGTCTGCCTTTATAATAAATATGATTTAAATGGGATGAGCCTCTGAAAGGGATCCGTACGATTTAAAGGGATGAATTTATATGAACTTCAAAAGGAACCATCTGATTTCAAGAGGGATGAACTTAAAAAGGGGTTCATATGATTTTAACAGGGATCCACATGATTGTAAAAGGGATGATGACATGAATTTAAAGGGGAGCCATCCATCCGAACCAAGCCAGCCCGCAAAAAAAAAAAAAAAAAACATATATATATATATATATATCATTCCGGGGGAGCAAACGTTTTATGTTATACGGCATTCGGGCAGCTGCTGGACTACCCCCTTTGAAATTTGATTGCCTGGCCTCGGTACAAAGCATTTTATAAGGAAATCTTAGCTTTGGGGCTGGCCTGGAGACTTAAGATTTCAGGGCCCGACAACCTCAGGCCTCAAGGTTTCAGGCTTTAAACCTTTGCTCGGTCTCAGATCTTGGTCTCTCAGGCTCAGTTCAGAAGCGATTTCTAGACAACAACTCCATTTCACAGCCTCGCCGAAATTTTGCATCGCCCGATTGTTTTCTCACACTTCCGGGGGACCTCCTCAAATATACCCCGCTGAATAATTTTCGGATTTGTTTTTCACAATTCCGGGGGAGCACACTAATCAGGATACAACATTAACCAAAAAAGAGGGTACCCCTTTACCCTAAACCCTAAACCCTAATTAAACCCTAAACCCTAAACCCTAAACCCCAAACCCTAAACCCTAAACCCTAAACCCTATACTGGGACCCAGGTGAGCATCCTGATGTCGTTGACTCATTTCCCGACTTCAAAAAGCTACAGGAGGTGGCTGGAGGGCTCCTCGGCCCAAAATGGGGTTTAGGGTTTCGGGTTTCGGGTTTCGGGTTTCGGGTTTAGGATACTCGACCTGAAGTGTATCATCGTGCAATCCCCCATAATCTTCGCTTAGGGTACCAGCCAAAAGGGCCCACCGCTTTGGATCAAGCCCAAAGTAGACTGGGCAGCGGACAGTACACTTTGGCTTTAGGGTTTGGGGGGATGTTTGTTTAGGGTTTAGCGCTTAGGGTTTAGGATGCGTAGATGTTTGTTTTTCTAGTTTTTTTCTTCGGAGGACCTGTAGGGCCAACCTGGATGCTGGGATTGCAGGGTCAGGGTGGAACCACGCCACAAGGTTGCTCTCCTCAGCGAGCCGGGAGGTGGACCAAGAGGGGGACGAGGAGGAGAGGGCCAAAAGAGCGAAGCAACACTGGGAGAAGGTGGTCATGGAGTGGAATAGCAAGGTGGAGGAGATCTGGAATGGCAGGAACGCCGAGTGAGTGAACGGAAGTTGCGCGACGAGCGTCGAGTTTGCGGTTTCGGCCTTTGGGTTTAAGGTTCACGGCCCAGGGTGACGACACGCTGTTTGATTGCCTGCTTGATGCTGGTACCCTCAGCACTTGCTTTCATTTTCCGCGTTTCTAAGAAGAGAGAAATGCGGGGGAGCGTGAGCATGCGGAGTTGTCTGCTCAGGGATGCAGGTCGACTTGCAATCGCTCGAAGCAGCTCTTCAAGCCAGGGCACCCTGTGGAGCCCTGACGAGCTTTAGTTCACTGCGAAGCATGAAGGTGGTATGCCTTAGGCATACCATCACCATGTCCACCCCAAAACCCAACACCCGAAACCCTAAACCCCAATCACCCTGTCCACCTGGCTGCTTGATGTTGCAATTTGGCACGCATTGGAGAAGACTGCGTTCGTGTTCCAATATTTGCTGCTAGCCTGCGAATTTAGGGTGCATGCCCGCCGCCCCGCCCAGGTAACGGTTGGGCTGATGGTTTGGTGTGCGTTCTGATTACTCTTAGGCGAAGCAAGGATTTGGCAAAATGCCGAGGACCACGACGAACCACTTGCCTATCCTGCTCAGCTGTTTGCTGGTTGCCAAAAGCTTTGCTCGCATGCTGCAGGTCTGGCCGTCTGACTAACGGCCTGGGCTTCCCATACCAAGCAAGCACCTTCAAGACACTCTGAACGCGTTACTCTGCATTGTTGTGCTGTACTATAGGGGTCGGAATAGTTGCTACTAGTATTCCCTTATGATCCATATATATTTAGACGATAATTGTAAACGCCTTGCGCGCGGCCGCCTCGGCAGCCGGGCCGGCCCAATGCGGGGGGAAGCTCCCAGAGAGCGGACAGCAGTGCAGGTAGAGTTCCAGTCCCGTATAGGGGGGATGTCAGGAACGTACCAGAAGGGCGAAGGGTATGAGAACTCCCAACGGTTCGGGCAGTGTCACAGGGGAGGGTGGCGTGGGGGGGTGGACCGCAATTTTGGGCTGGAAGGGTTGGGAAAGGGGAAAGGAGACCAGATCTTGGTTTGACTGTTCCAGGCGCATGTCGCCCGGAAGCCGCGGTGAATAACCCCCAAAACCTTATTCTAATTACGAAGACCCCCTGTATGACACACAGCGCGTGTTCCTTGCGTTGGAAAAACCTGGCAAAGCTGGCTGTAGGGTGTAGGTTTCTGCACATGAGCAAGTGCAAGCACATGAATGCACCACTCACACCCGGAAACCTGAGAAGTCTAAATCCCGGGAATCCACTAGACTCTGCACGTGCAGGCCCACAAGAAGGCACTGAAGAGCTTCGCCACGGAGAATCCGGATGAGTTTCTCAAGTTCCTCAACAATCTGTGGCCTCCACCCAGCATGCCTGGGGGATCATGGATTGTAATAGGTCTGTCATGAGTAGGGTTGAAAGAACCCCAAGTGCTATGATATAGTTGCCATACTTTTTAACCTGGTTATAATTACGTGTGAACCTACAAGGGACTACTGTGGGGGGCTACTGCAGGGGGAGTCGGGTCATGGTGTAGGGCAGAGCTTGGGGTCCAGGATGAGAGTTTGGGTTCAGGGGTTTGCTTGTAAAGTGTGCTTTGTAGAGCCTGGCATGGCAAGTAAGACGATCACAAGTCGGTTTTCGGAGTCCTTTGCTGCAAGATCTCTACGACAACCGCACCCCAAACCACAGGCCCTGACTCCAGCGTAAGCCCCATAATCTTGTGGAGAACCACAAGGTAGGTCCTGGACGCATCCTGTCATGAGCATCCCTGCGGCCAGCCCTAAGCCCTGTTTTAACCCTATTAAAGCCCTTGAGCCTGGAAAAAGCAGATTAGTCTTTACAAATACGTCGGCATCCACTCTCGATCCCAAGCCATATACTCGAAGCAAGACAAACTTGCAGGCAGGTTGAAGGATCTTGCGGCAGGGTTTCGGATGAGAGCCGTATAGGTTTATATTTTTATAGGGTCGGAACCCCTAAACCTAAACCTTAAACCCGAATAAGACAACTCGATATATAAGCCCTGCGATCTGCCACGCTGCAGAGATTGGCTCAAAGAAACAGGAATAACGGCCGCTGACCCAAAGAAGCATTTGTCTCGGCGCGGGGCTTATCGTGGAGAACTTGGAGGGCAGGACTGTTTGGGGTTTAGGGTTGGGTTTCGGGTGATTCCTAAACCCCTAAATCCCCAAAAGCCCAAGACCAGGACTCTAAATATCCAAAGCCCTAAACCCCTGAACCCCAAACAACAAACGCCCTAAGTCCCTAAACCCGCAACTAAGGAAGGGGCTCAACTTGGGGGGGGGGTTTAGCAGTATTTAAGAGTCTCATGATCATCTCCCAAAAAGGCTCTCCAAACCCCGAAAGCCCCTAAGCCCCAACCCCTAAAAGCCCAAACCGAAGCCCTGACCCCTAACACGCCCCAAACCCCAACCCTGAAACTGTTGATGCCCTAGACGCTACTGTAAGCCCTGAACCCTCAACCCTAAGCCCTAAACCCTAAACCCTGCCTGAACCTTAAACCCTACACCCTAAAGCCTGAACCGCCCCCCCCCCCCTCCCCCCCAGGGCACAAATGCCGTCGTCAGCTGGGCTTTGCGAGCGAGGACCCGGCGCAGGGGGGCCTGGCTGACTGCGGTTTTGCGTTGACAAGGTTTTGGGGTTTGGGGTTGAGGGTTGCTTGGTTTTGTTTAGGGTTCTGGGGTTGTGTAACTTTGCCCCAGGTTTAGGGTTTCGGGTTGTTTTCTCTTGTCTTGTTTTTGGCTCAGGCTTGTTTAGGGCCTTGGGGCATATTGGGGGCCTATAAAGGGTCTAGAGACTCTGGCAACTGTTTCGGGGTTCCGGGTTTTGAGGTTTGGATTGAGGGTTTGCGTTTATTATAGGGTCCTTTGAGGGAGGGGGTTCGGGGGGGAGGGGGGGTAGGCCTACAACACCTTAGGGAAGCTTCGGGAGCCTTATGGAGTAGGGGGGAGTGTTCGGGAACAAACCTTGGGCTACAAACCCCCTTGAACCCCCGTCCCTTAAGAATCGTATAAACCCAGCGGCGCAACACAGAACGGAAGCAAAACCATGACTAGGGAGCCCAAAAAAGGTTGTGCATATTCTTCTCAACCCTAAATCCTCAACCCTAAACCCTAACTTGTTAGCGCTGAACCCTAATCTACCCTCAACCCTAAACCCTAAACCCTAAACCCTAAATTCTGGCTTAAGGCCTTAAGGACCCTGCAAGTTAGGATGTGCGGGCCTTAGAGGGGGTTTAGACATCACATAGCTCGCAACTTGGTTTCTTGCGGGCTTCAGCCTTTGGGTTTAGGGTTTAGGGTTTAGGGTTGAGGGTTTAGGGTTGAGGGTTGAGGGTTGAGGGTTTAGGGTTTAGGGTTTTAGCGTGCTGGGCTTGTACGGCAGCCCATAAGCAAACACACCGAGTTCGCGCTGCCTCTCGAAGACCCTGAGCTGTAATCCCTCGCTTCACATGGAGTTCACAAATACTTAGTTCTAGGGTTACAAGGGTTTAGGGTTTAGGGTTTAGAGTTTAGAGCATGGTATCTGGTGACTGTAGTTATAGCCTGCGCTTAGGGCACCTCCCTAAACCCTAAACCCTAAACCCTAAACCCTAAACCCTGAACCCTGAACCCTAAACCCTAAACCCTAAACCCTATGCATTTTTCCAAGACAGCCGAGGCAGTGGCCTTGTGGCAGTGCTGCGCGAGGGCCCCAGTTGGAACAATGGTTGTGCCAGTACCAATTGCTTAAGACCCCCCCCCCCAAAAAAAAAATAACAAAATAAAAATGTTCTCTTTTATAAGGGTAATTGAGGGAGTATTAGTAGTATTGTTGTATTTTTATAAGGGTAATTTAGGGATTATTAGTATTATTGTTGTATTCTCATTTTTTGGTGGTTCTTAAGCATATAGTGGACCTTGGGGACGACATGACCCTTAAAAGGGTTTATGATTCACATACCTTCATAGGAATTCTGGTATAAATGAAACCCTAAAAGGGGTTCATGGTGCATATACCTTCATAGGAATTGTAGTAGTATAGGGTATAGGACCCAATTTTAGAGGGTTCATTTGGTCCCCAAGGTTGTGGTTTTCGTGTTTAGGGTTGTGGCGTTCAACACCCATGACTGGAGAAGAGAAGCCCAAAGAAAGAACAGGGCTCTAAACCCTAAACCCTAAACCCCTAAACCCTAAACCCTAAACCCTGCTTGCCAAGCTGTGAATCCAACACCATACAGCCCTTCTTGGGATGCTCCCCCTATACTGCCAGTCCTTAACAGAATTATCATACCCCCTATTATACTTTAAGGGCTCTGAGTATAAAGGGGAACATCCCAAAGCCCTATGCTTTCCATGAACCTTCAAAGCACGATCACCAGAACTCAGGCTTGCGGGCGTGAATGGCGAGCAGAAAGTTTTGCAGGCGCTCGTGCCCTCCCCTCTCGTCTTTCTGTCTGTCTTTCTTTTTGTTATTCATGTATTTTCTGTCTTTCATTGTTTCCTTCTTTCTTTCTCTCACTATTGTTCGTTCTCTCTCCCTCTCTCTCTCTCTTTCTATATGCACATAATATACTGTAGTATCAAATAATAATATATATATATATATATATATATGTGTATGTGTGTATATATATATATATTGCATATATACATATTACAAAATCGAACACAAATACTCGCCCAAAGTATACGAAGACCGCAAAAGGTTACCCATTTTTTAACCCCCCCCCCCCCCCATATTGCCACAGGGCAACCCACGCCTAAACCCCAAGCCCTAAACCATGACTCGGCTCCTACCCGAGAAGCTTGTCGGGTTCTTAAGGGAGCGGGGTTAGGGAACAGTGGGGGGGGCTTATTTGGGAACCTTGGGTTAGATACCCCCCCTTGAACACCCCTCTCCCTTAAGAAGGCCCTATAAGATGCTCACGCACTACTGATTCCTACAAAGAGATCATGGGGCGAGATTGTGGTTCGATGTGCACATCTACCTCCAGCCC